AAACAACAAAAGAATCTCAAATAAACATTATGATCCTTTATACCTAAAAGAAATAGAAAAAGAACAACAAACAAAGCCCACAGTTACTAGAAGGAGGAAATAAAGTTCCAGGTGGAAATAAATGAAAGAGACTAAAAAGTCAACAGAAAAGATCAATGAGACCAACATAAACAAAACTGATATACCTTTAGCCAACCTCATCAAGAAAAAAAGACAGAAAGGACCCAAATGAATACAATCAGAAATGAAAGAGGAGAAGAACTGAAAAAGAACCACAGAAATACCAAGGATTATAATAGACTGCTATGAAAAATTATATGCCAACAAATTGGACAACCTAGAATAAATGGATAAATTCCCAGAAACATACAATCTTCCAAGACTGAATCAGGAAGAAATAGAAAATCTGAACAGACTGATTGCTAGCAACAAAACTGAATCAAAAATCAAAAGACGCCCAATAAACAGAAGTCCAGGACCAGTGGGCTTCACAGGTGAATTCTACCAAACATTTAAAGAAGAGTTAATACCTATCCTTCTCAAACTACTCCAAAAAATAGAAGAGGAAAGAAACCTTCCAAATTCATTTTAAGAGGCCAGCATTACTCTGATACCAAAACCAGACAAAACATTCTAAAAAAATATTACAGGTCAATATTCTGGATGAACATAAAGGCAAAAATCCTCAACAATCGCCAATTGAACTCAACAATACATTAAAAGGATCATACACCATGGTCAAGTTAGATTTATTCCAGGGATGCAAGGATTGTTCAATATTAGCAAATCAATCAACATGATACACCCTATTAACAAAATGAAGGATAAAAACCATATGATAGATGCAGAAAAAAGCATTTGACAAAATACAATATCAGTTTATGATAAACTCTCAACAAAGTGGGGTTAGAGAGAATATACATCAACATAATAAGGCCAACATATGAAAAATACACAGCTAATATAATACTGAATGTTTTTCCTCTAAAATTAAGAATAAGACAATGATGTCTACTCTTGCCACTTTTATTCAGCACAGTATTATAAGTTGTAGCCACGGTAATTAGACAAGAAAAAGAAATAAAAGGCATACAAACTGGCAGGGAAAGGTAAAACTGTCACTCACTGTTTGCAAATGACATAGTATACACAGTAAACCCAAAAGTTCCACCAAAAACTACTGGAACTAATAAATGAATTTGGTAAAGTTGCAGGATACAAAATTAATATACAGAAATCTGTTGAATTTCTATACAGCAATAAGGAAGCAGCAGAAAGAGAAATTAAGAAAACAATCCCATAGGGGCGCCTGGGTGGCTCAGTTGTTAAGCGTTTGCCTTTGGCACAGGTCATGATCCCAGGGTCCTGGGATCGAGCCTCGCATCAGGCTCCCTGCTCAGTGGGAAGCCTGCTTCTCCCTCTCCCACTCCCCCTGCTTGTGTTCCCTCTCTTGCTGTGTCTCTGTCAAATAAATAAAATCTTAGAAAAAGAAAAAGAAAAAAGAAAACAATCCCATTTACAACTGCATCAAAAGGAATAAAATGCCTAGGAATAACCTTAACCAAGGAGGTGAAAGACTTGTACTCTGAAAACTGTAAGGCACTGATGAAAGAAACTGAAGACAACACAAACAAATGGAAAGATATACTATGCTCATGGATTAGGAGAATATTGTCCACACTACCCAAAGCAACCTACAGATTTAATGCAATTCCCATCAAGATACCAATACTATTTTCCACTGAAATAGAACAAATAATCCTAAAATTTGTATGGAACCACAAAAGACTCCAAATAGCCAAAGTAATCTTGAGAAAAACAAAGCTGAAGGTATCACAATCCCAGATCTGAAAATATAGTACAAAACTATAATAATCAAAATAGTATTGTACTGGTATAAAAATAGACACATAGATCAATGAAACAGAATACAGAGCCCAGAAATAAACCCATGCTTATATGCTCATTCATCTACGACAAAGGAGGCAAGAAAATACAATGGGAAAAGAGTCTCTTCAATAAATGCTGCTGGGAAAACTGGACAGCTACACGCAAAAGAATTAAACTGAACCACTTTCTTACACCATATACAAAAATAAACTCAAAATGGATTAAAGACCTAAGTGTAAGACCCAAATCCATAAAACTCCAATAAGAAGACTTAGTAATCTCTTGGACATTGGCTGTAGCAACATTTTTCTGGATTATGTCTCCTCAGGCAAGGGAAACAAGAGAAAAATAAACTACTGGTACTACATTAACCTAAAAAGCTTTTACACAGTGAAGGAAACCATCAACAAAATGAAAAGGCAACCTACTGAATGGGAGGAGATATTTCCAAATCATATAACTGATAGGAGACTAATATCCAAAATATATAAAGATTTCATACAACTCAACACCAAAATACACTAATAATCCAATTTAAAAATGGGCAGAGGACCTGGATAGATATTTCTCTGAAGAAGACATACAGATGGCAAACAGAAAAGATGTTCAGTATCACTAATCATCAGGAAAATGCAAACCAAAACAACAGTGAGATATCACCTCATACCAGCCAGAATGGCTAGTATCAAAAAAATAAGAAATATCAAGTGTTGGTGAGAATGTAAAGAAAAGGGAACCCTCATACACTATTGGTGGGATGTAAATTGGTGCAGCCACTATGGAAAAAAGTATGGAGGTTCCTCAAAAAATCAAAATTCTTAGAAGTACCATGTAAGCCAATAATTCCAGTACTGGGAATTTATTCCAAGAAAACAAAAACACTATTTTGAAAAGATATAGGCACCCCTATGTGTATTGCAGCATTATTTACAGTAGCAAGATATGGAAGCAATCTAAGTGTCCATCATTAGATGAACAATAGATAACAAGATGTTGAATTGAATATTACTCAGCCATAAGGGATGAGATCTTGCCATTTGTGACAATGTAGATCGATCTAGAGAGTATTATGCTAAGTGAAATAAGTCAGACAGAGAAAGACAAATAGCATGATTCATTTATATGCAGAATCTAAAAACCAAAACAGATGAACAAAACACAACAAAACAAAAACTCATAAATACAGAGAATAAACTGGTGGTTGCCAGAGGGGATGGAGTGAGAGGGATGGGTGAAATAGGTGAAGGGGATTAAGAGGTACAAACTTCCAATTACAAAATGAATAAGTCACTGAGATAGAAAGTACAGCATAGGAAATATAGTCAGTAATATTGTATTAACTTCGTATGGTGACAGATGGTAGTTACACCAATCGTGGTGAGCACTGCATGATGTACAGAACTGTTAAATCACTATATTACACACCTGAAAACAATGTAACATTGTACGTCAACTATACCTCTGTAAAAAAGTAAAATTAAACTTATTAAAGTTCATGTTTACCTCAGCTGAGAAATCCTTTGGGAATCTATCCCAAAAAATAAATGCATCAGTACATAAAGATAACTTACTTGGACAAGGCTTCAGTTGAGGAAACCAGGGTTTCCACTGTATTTGAAGCTGATTTTGTAGGAATCATTTCATATTACTGGTCAATGTTAAAACAGTTTTTGAGGAGAAAATGGAAAGATTAACACAAAGGGAATGCATAATCAAAAATGCATTCTCAACCCAGATAACCCAGATAAAAGCCTGTTAAGTTTTTAAAAGTGAAAGAGTCATTGGGCGCCTGGGTGGCTCAGTTGGTTAAGCGACTGCCTTCGGCTCAGGTCATGATCCTGGAGTCCCAGGATGGAGTCCCGCATCGGGCTCCCTGCTCAGCGGGGAGCCTGCTTCTCCCTCTGACCCTCCCCCCTCTCATGCTCGCTCTATCTCATTCTCTCTCTCAAATAAATAAATAAAATCTTTAAAAAAAAAGAAAATCTCTAAAAAAAAAAAAAAAAAGTGAAAGAGTCACATAAAATATACAGGCTAGATAATTATTACCCCAAATATCTGAATAAGCTTAAGGTTGTTCAATAAAAATACCAGTTAGTGTGGTTAAACAGGAAGAACTGTTAGAAAGCCCCATGCTATTTCCCATTCTATTTCTAACAAATCCACACTTCTTTTAAGCCATCACCTCTTCCTAAAAGTCATAGCACAAAGACCACTTACTTAAATCTTTTCCCACGAGTGAAGCTAGAAATGCAGTTTCACAATACTTACTGGAGAATTGTATTGTGGAGAAAAAAAAGAATATCTAATAATAGGTAAAACAATAAATGGTGGTATACTCATAGAATGGCATTTTAGGCACTATTAAAAAGAATATTTACATATATTCATTTTGACTTGAAAGGATTTCCATAATTTAATGTTCTCTGAGATAGCTAAATGCAGAAGAGTGTAGAGAATATGATCCCATTTTAGTAAATAACAACGAGAAAAAAATACCAAATTGTTAATACTGGTATCTTGGAAAGAGGGTAGGGCTGGTAGTTAAGAGTTTAAAAACAGAAAAGATCTGTTTTAGAAGAATTCTCAGAATAAATATGTAAGAAATGCTGTGTAATCATACATATATATACATGTATGAAAAGTTGGTAACCAAAATAATTCTAATGACTGTTGAAATACATGGATTTTTACTTCCTTCTTTATTCTTTTCCTGTCTTCATTTTTTGCTATTGACACATTACTTGTGCAATCAGAAGAACATTTTTATTTTAGGGGGATAAAAAGGTCGGAGACCTGGAAAATACTGCAAAAAGCTTTGAAATTTAAAAAATACATGGTGCTATAGATATGAATTCTGAATAATTACTATATTTTAAAATTCAAAAACAAAGGAGAGTAATATATTCATTAATGTAGAGAGCTATTGAATCATTATATTGTACACCTGAAACTAATATGATACTGCATGTTGTTTCAATTAAAAAAATTAAAAATTTTAAATGAGATAATTACATAGAATAAGCAACATTTTCTGCCAAGACCAAAGAACAAAAAAAACATCTTACGTAAACAGACCCTAAAGCACAGATATCACAAACACACACATATACCTGGATGGTTCAGCATAGTATCAAGTTCTTCTTTGGCCACAACCATTCTCAATCTATCACTACTATCAATGACAAAAATAATGGCCTGTCCTTCTCTGTAGAAGGAATGAGAAAAATTAAAGATAAAATTATACATTTTTCCATGTTTAGCATTCATTTGCATTTCCTGTGTATTATCTTTTTATTACATATTAGTTTATATGAGTGACTACTATATTACCATCAGTCCTATTTCATGTAAAATAATTTTTTCTCAGTTGGTTGATAATATGGTAAATTTAATGACTTATTTCATAATTTTTAAAAACTACAAGTAAAACCATAATCCTATTACACAGATGCAATCATTATTAATATTTGGGGGTAAGTCAATTTTGACATTTTCTTTGTGTATATTCACATATGAGTACCTACATTTGTATTTAAATGGAATCTTGCTGTTTTATACCCTGCCTTTCTGATATACATATATATTTCCTTGATCTTCTTTGCAGTATAGTTTGAACTACTTTTATATGAAACATTAAAGCTCTACACCAGTGTTTCTCAAATATTTCTTACCATAACCATAGTGAGAAATACATTTTACATTAAGGTACAGTAGACCCTTAAGTATATGTAACTATATTTGAAATAAGTTTCCAGAAATAATACTTACAAATAGCTTTTATTTTATTCTATTTGATTTTTTTTAAGCTGATAACCAGCCACTAAACTGGCTTAAAGATTCACTTACAGATCACAGTGGCACTTAAAAAAAATCACTGATTCCCTCTGCACCTTTCTTTTAATGATTATAAAGTATCCCATTGCACAGATATGTCATCAGTAATACTGTGGACTTAGAGATTATTTTTAATTTTTATTATTATGAAAAACTTTGGAATAAACATCCTCCTGAGTACATTTTTTAAATTTCTTGGTATCTTAAGACTTGTAATTAGGAATAAAATTTCTAGAAATACATACAAAATTTAAAGTTTTAGATAAACATTGACAAACTGTATTCCAGAAATACTTTATCAATTTATACTACTACCAGTATTTTTCCCACCTTTCCAGCATGGCTCTTAACATTCTTTTCCATTCTAACAGCATAGTATTTTACACTGTATTTCATTAATTGCTAGCAAAGTTCAATATGTTTGCATATATTTATTGGACACTTTACCTTTTTTTGTGAATCACTTATTCCAGTCATAAATTAAGATTTTAAAAGTTCAATATCATTAAAAAATAAAAGTTCAATATCATTAGCAATCACATGAGCATAAAAATAAAATAACTTTTGAGTACCATTTTCTCCTATCATTTAAAAAAAATGAACATAGGTTATCACTAGTCATACATTACTAGTAGCCATGGAAATTGATAAGATTGGAAAATATCTACCAACAGTTTTAAAAATGTTAAATCTCTTGGAGCCAGTAATTTTATTTCTGGAATTTATTCTAAGGAAACATGATCTATGACAAAGATTTATGCAGCAAGATGTGCTAACTGAAGGATTGTTTATAATCTTCAAAAACTGAGAATAGCTTTTATGTCCAAAAATAGAATGATTACAAAATAGGCATAGGCATGTGAGAAAAAAAAAACAAAACAGCCAGTCATTAGTTATATTCTTTGGATGTTTTTCCTGATTTATTCTTATCACTGAATATTAACTGAAAAAGCAGGATAAAAAACTCTATATGGTACATAATTTAGAAGACTCCTTTCTCAACTATGTAGAGTATACATTTTATATTTCAAGAAAGAAGAAAAACAAAAAAGATTAACAATGGTAAATTTATTAGTAGTGAGATTTAGAGAAAATTTTTTTATATTCTTTTCTATATTTTCCAAATATTAAAAAATGTGTACTCCTTATATTTTATACTTTATTACTTTCATATTATAAATATGCAATAATTATACAATAATCAATGTTACAAAATCAAATAAATGACAAAGTAAACTTCCCTTATAATCTTATTGTTCCAAAACAAATACTATTAATGATTTGGTGCACGTGCTACTAAATTTTTTTCCTTCTCTATATATACTAAGCACATATTTTTGTTAAGAGTAGTATTTTTCTTCTTATAATTGAGATATCATTATAAACAGTGTTCAACACATATTCTTCTATGTTTAACTTTGTCCACCAGTGCTAGTCTAGGATACTTTTCAAGAAACAAAATGATGGCTAGAGAGCATGAACATTTTTCATTTTAAAAGATATTGATAAATTTCCCTGAAAAAGATGTTACATTCCCACCATAAGAGTGACTTATTTTGCCACAGTAGACTTAATCTTTTTAACCTCTTTCAGTCTAATAGATTAAGATGTACTTGTTCTTTCATAATTAGAAAAATATAGATACAGGATATAAATTTACTATTATTGTAGACTTCTCCACAGTAACCCTATTCACTATTCAACCTACAATTTAGCTATAGTGTTCCTAATTAACTTCTTCCAAAAAGATTTTGAAGAAAAAGGAATTAAAAGCAGAAACATTTCCTTTTATAGAAACTATTTTCTATGTATTTTTGTTATCTGTAATTAAAATAAATGTTATTTTTGAAATAGTAGCTAAAATAAATACATTTTAAAAATTCTTTTTTTGGAGGAAGAATAAAAAAATCCTACACTGAAAACTCAGGTTTCCTAAAAAAACAAAAAAAAACCTAAAAAAGCCAAAAAACAACTCACATTTCCCCAGAGAATTTAATGCAAGCTACCATAAACATGCCACTTTCCCTTTACCAAACTGACTCTGAAATCTGAAGAACAAAATCTTTTCTCTGTACCTCAGCGGTCCTCTGGATCTGTATGATTTAAATATGACTTCAATCTATTAAAGCACTCATTGAAAAGAGTATCTGAAAAAAATCTCCTTTGGCTCTAATCTGAGGAATACAATGTTTGTTCCCACATTAGCAGGAAAGAATAAAAATTAAAATCTGATCTGGGCAATCATCTCATAATCATTCCAAGGCAAGAGTTCATAATGACAAAAGGGCATTTAGTCAAGGGATACTGGTTATAAGTTTCAGACTCCAAAAGTAAGTTACATTGCTTTTACAGGAAGGAGTCCTAGCAATATGAACAGTTAATGAATTCATTTTACTACCTCATGCAAATCCTGAGACGGCATAATAATTTGGGTTCTAGTAACTTAACAGTTCTTAATCTGAAGTAATTAGTGAGCACTTTATTTGCATATGCTGACAAATATCTTGTTTAGAATTGCTTGTAGAACAAATGGATCGACTGTTTAAGTTAGTACTGTTATTTTAACTAAATTTATTCAATAAATATTTACCGATCTATATGTCTAGCATCATACTTGGCCTTGAAGAAATAACCTGAATAAGAAATAATCCTTGCTCTTGAGCAGTTCACACCCTTATTAGAGAGGCAGCTATGGCACATGACTTTAAGACATAACAAGTATGGTAAAGTACTGTGTGAACACTGGGGACAGAATAACTGGGCAAAAATGGTGAAATTTGACAGAGGAGGTGACTTCTGAGTTAACTTTAAAGCATGACTATATTAACTTTAAACTGCAACTAAATAGAACAGGGCATTAAAAACAGAGAGAAAAGCATATGCAAAGATCCAAGGTCACGGAGGACCTGAAGCATTTGAGAAATAATATGAAGTATGATTATACTTTTTCATTAGAAAACATTTTCATTTTTTCATTAGAACATGTGCTTAAATTATATGAAAAATAAATATTGCAACCTAGCCCACGTAATCCTTTGGATTTATTTGTTAAGCATTATTATTAAAATATACTCATCTAGTTAACCAACATTTATAAACATACTTACTTATAATAGTGTTCCCAGAGATTTCTGTATCTTCCTTGACCTGACATGTCAAACACTGTAAAAGACAAACTACAGAAAACAAAGCAAAACAAAACCAAACACCAAAACAAAAAAACCATGACTACATTATAAGATACTAACTCAAGGTGTTACTTTTACTTAAAAATTTAAATTGTTTTCAAAGAAACCACCCTTGAATATACAATATTCAACTTGAGCCAATTTTCAAGTACAAGTCCCATAAATTAAATTTTTTAATATAAATATGATTTTGTAATGAATAACATATAAAAAAAAGATGTTTTCCTTCTAGTGAGATTATCGGAGTTTATCTAAAGTCTAAATTCTGAAAAACAATCCAGGGGTAGTGGTACAAATAATTTACCATCTCTATGGACTTCTGAAACAACAAATTTCTTTTTCTAAGAGTAGAACGAATGACTAGGTCAATCTGATATTATCACTTCTCACCCACAACTTCTTAGTCAAAAGTATAATAAAATGAATTACCTGGACGATTTGAATTTCTCTATGCTGAATCCTATGGTTGGAACTATATCTTGTGATTGAGCCTTCAAGAGAAAAGACAAATTGAGAAATCTGCAATTACCAAAGATGAATTTTTCCTCAGGTTAAAAAAAAGCATCCACGTTTCCAATTCTAAAATTTGTCACTACGGAGATGACAGAATTAAGCAAAATTATAATTTTTGCAGTGGGATCACCGTGTGTGAATTCTTTACAGAAGTTTAAGGTTTACTAATTATGAATCTGTATAACGTGTATATCTTAATTCACATTTTGTGGCTTGCTACAAGTAACCATAGCTGTAAAGTGGTTTGATGAGTCATTCTGAGTTCACATACAGGACTTCATGATCTTTCACCACATACTTATTGAGTTTATATATGCTACTGGGGACTGTTCTCATGTCTAGATGGTGAATATACATGGTCGCTGCTTTCATGGAGCTTATTACCTAGAGAAAGTAAACATCAATAACCAAGTAAACTACAAGTGAACACAATTTCAGGAAGTGGTAAGTACAGTGAAAGGTGATTTGGAGATGGGAGGCAATGGGGGAGGAGGGTTGGTATGGGGCATGGAAAAAGGATGCTGAGAAAAAGCCTCTCTGAGGAGGTAACATTGGACCCAAGAGTGAATATCAAAAAGGAGAAAAGCTATGACTAGATCTCGGCAAAAACATTCCAGTCAAAAGAATTAGCCAGTGCAATGACCCCAAGGCAAGCAGGGACTTGCCACTCAGGAAAAGTATAAGGCCTGTATGTCTAAAATGTACTGAGTAAGGCAGAGAGCTATATGTAACAAAGAGCTGTAGAGCCTTGAAGGCCATGGTAGGGAATTCTGTGTGGATAACAGATTACAAGGGGCAAGAGTACAGCAGGAGACCTGTTAGCAAGTCCCATAGGCAATTAAAATGCCTTAAGCTGACAAGTCATCAAATGCCTCCTAACACTTTCACCATCAAAAACCATTCTTCCGTTTGAATAAAAAACACCATCTACTTTCTGATAACCTATGAGTTATTCTTGACTCCTCGTTTTCTTACATTTTTTATAAACCATTCTCAAATTGGTCCTATCTCACTAACTTAGTTCAGGCCCTTAACATTTCTTGCTTTGATGTAGTACAAAAGCCTTCTAATTACTCCTAACTGTTAATGTGCCACCTTAGACTAGTTACTCAACTTCTCCAAACCTTAGTTTTCTCAAATGTGAAATCTATTATTATCTTTAACTTGTAAAGTTATCGTGAGAATTAAATGAGTTAATGAATGCAAAATACTCAACACTGTGCCTGGTCCATAGGAAATACTCAGCAACTACTCAACAAATATCATAAGTATACTTTCTTCTTTTTTTTTTTTTAGTGTTAAATGTTTTAAATTTTATGAATTTTAAACACATATAAAATTCAAGTATTCACTCTGGCATTTCTGTTTTAGCATCAATATACAGAAGAAATATCTCAGTGCTGTCATTTGCTTTGGTTTTGCACCTATTAATATTGAGAATGTGATTTGGTCTCTTTGTAATACATTTCTTATTGATTTCCATTCTTCTCATTATAACAGCCACTTAACTGACCACCATTCTGGTCTCTCTTATCTTTCTTTTTTTTTTTTAATTTTATTATGTTATGTTAATCACCATACATTATATCATTAGTTTTTGATGTAGTGTTCCATGAGTCATTGTTTGCATATAACACTCAGTGCTCCATGCAGAACGTGCCCTCTTTAATACCCATCACCAGGCCCCCATCCCCCCACCCCCCTCTCCTCTAGAACCCTCAGTTTGTTTCTCAGAGTCCATAGTCTCTCATGGTTCGTCTCCCCCTCCGATTTCCCCTCCTTCATTTTTCCCTTCCTGCTATCTTCTTCTTTTTTTTTTTTAACATATAATGTATTATTTGTTTCAGAGGTACTATACTTTCAATGATTTCAGTCTCTTTCCAATTTTCTCCATACAGCCACAGTGTAACTTAAAAAACAACAAACAAAAAAAACCTTTAGTTCATCATGTTGCTTTTGTGTGAAAACAGGAGAAGGTAAATTGTTGCCCCACACCATTATGTTCAATTTGGTAGTCCACTTCTGGAAATTTAAAATTCAAATGAAAAGACAGAAGCCGAAAAGTCACTGGAGCTTAGTCACCTTAGTAGTAACGTAGTAGTGAAAAGGCCTCCTTAGAGATGTCTGGTTTTGCCTTTCTAAAGTTTGTTTATTCAGCTTTTCTTTCCATCCTATTGAGCTGCCTATATTCTTCCAAAAATATCTTTCTGTTTATGTTAGAATTTATTTCCTGCCATTCAGATTCCTGCCTCAGTCCTTAGGGTTTCTTCATTGCACAACAAACTTTGGAATAAAGAGTTTCCTTACTTTTGTTGTCCCAAAATATTCCATGGTTTTGACTTTTTATTTTGATCACAATCATGATAAAATCATCAGCTATTACTATTAGGAAAAAATACCAGTAATAAAGTGAGAAAATTAAACGTCTAAAGAAATCTCAGAAAATATACCTCAAAATAGTAGCCCTGTCTTCACTGAACTGTAATTAGAACATTTGCCTGGCCTCTCCGCAATCACCCAGCTTCTTCACAAACTCTTTTTGTTTCCAGAGCTTCTCTTTTATATCTTGCTGTTTTACTTAACAAGGATAAAATTAATCAACTTTCTTTTCTTCCCATCACTTTTTTTTTAAGGAGGGAGAGAGAGAGAGAGAGAGAGAGAGTACATACGAGTGGGAGGAGGGGCAGAGGGAAAGGGAGAGAATCTCAAGCAAACTCCATGATGTAGTCTCACAACCCCAAGAGCATGACTGAGCCAAAATTAAGAGGCAGACACTTAACCGACTGAGCCACACAGGCACCCCTCTTTCCGTTACTTCTAAAGTTCTCATGGAACCTAATTAGAAAGAAGAAACTCCACAAATTAATCAGGATAAAACAAGATATGTGAGCTCGTGCTTCTACTTCAAGTGGGATTTATTTTCCTCTAAAGAATTCCAAAGATTATCTCCGACATTAATCTTCTCTGCTCTGTCTAGGAACAAATACATTTGGTCATTCTCTGAATTGGTCAGGGAATGGTACAAACCAAGCAAAGAGTATAGGAATTATTACCTAAGTGGAATAGCCTATCTGAGATAGCCCAAGGATAGACTAACATCAACAAGAATAGAACAGGAGTTCTAAGAGAACATCCTATTTGGTTAGTTTCATTAAGTCTGCTAAAAATTAAATCCTTGGTGCTATCAATCATCATTCCCTGCCCAAAAATGAAAATTAAAAAATTCCCCATCAGTCCATCCCAAAATACACTTATATACCAGACAATAGTATAGGTATTTAGGATTTAGGGTTGAATAATATCAGATCTATGCTCTTAAGTAATTTAAATTTATAATGAGGAAAAATTTAATAAATAAGCTACCAATTAAATATGCAAGATAATGTCAGATTGTTTTATTTTTTATTTTTAAGATTTTTTTTTTTTTAATTTATTTGATAGAGAGAGACACAGCGAGAGAGGGAACACAAGCAGGGGGAGTGGGAGAGGGAGAAGCAGGCTCCCCACTGAGGAGGGAGCCTGATGTGGGGCTCGATCCCAGTACTCTGGGATCATGACCTGAGCCGAAGGCAGACACTTAACGACTGAGCCACCCAGGCGCCCCTCAGATTGTTTTAAATAACATAAATCTGGATGATGTGGTAGTATGATAGGATTTCCACTGGCAAACGGGGGGTAATGGAAATTGGGGAAAAAAAGGTACTTATAGGGTGCATCTCTAAGAAAATACACTTAAGACCAGATTCTTGAGTGATCAGGTTAAAATGCCTCCCCACCATTATGCATCAGTTTAGAAAACACCAGCATCCTCAATACATTGACAATAAATAAGCATTAGGATAGCTTAAAGCCAGTTTGGGTCCAAAAGTATCTAGTTATCTAGAAACTGATTTTATCCACAAAAAATAAGAGACATAACTATAAAATGAGATTTGCAAATTTTTTGCACTGTAGATTTCTATAATTCACTTAATTCATTAAAAATAATGTTTCTAATAGTGGATGTAGGCTCACAAAAGATTTCTTTGGTTCAGATAAATGGAGGAAACAAGTGTTTTATATATACCTGTGACACAGAGGTTTTGAGGTCTTTAAGAAATTCTATTTCAAGTGGTCTTTTGGCTATAAGCACCAAATTAAAAAAAAAAAAAGCAGAGCAACTTACTGTGTTCTCAGGATCTAGAGGTCAATTGTTCTGTGGAGACAGGATAGTTGCCTAAAGATTAAGTCTCAGGAAGTGGTGTCAGAAAGTAGGTGATCCCCTTAAAATAGCCCTATAGCAAGTTGAGGCTAGTTCCATAATTCACAAGAGATAACAGAGACAGAGATGTTGGAAAGCACTGGAAGATTAATTAAAAAACCTTAGTTATTGGCTGTGTACCCAGGTTTTCCTGGGGGCTTTCCCTGACTAATGTGGTGTTAAACAGGGTTAATATGTCACAAGACCAGTCTGAAATGGGGGTTATAGAGTATTTTAAGATCACAGATGGAGCACATGATGTCTCCTCTTCCTGCCCCAAATCTCTAGAAATGACAGAAGAAATTATGAAAAAAAAATCCCTAAGTAGGTTAAAAAATAAAAATACATCCTTGTTCAGGGAAGAAAGCTGTTCCCATTCATATCAAAGATTATTCCTATGGTAATAACTATGTCTTGGAAGATCACTATACTGTTGGGAATGATGGAAGGAGACTGTAAATTCTTTTTTGTTTTTTGAATATTATTTCTGCCAATTTTGAGTACAGCAGACATTGGTGGACTGGTCCATTTTGTGGCTATATATATTTTTTTAACAGAAGGAGAGGTAAGGGAGGGGCAGAGGGAGAGGGAGAGAGGGAATCCCAAGCAGGCTCCACACTCAGCATGGAGCCTGACATGGAGCTCAATTCCAGGACCCTGAGATCATGACCTGAGCAGATATCAAGAGTTGGATGCTTAACTGACTGAGCCACCTAGGCGCCCCCATTTTGTGGCTATTAATGGTGGCTCTGGTTTCAGTTATTTTGTACTTATTGGAGACTAGCTTTTTTTAAGATTTTATTTACTTATTTGAGAGAGGGAGAAAAAGAGAGAGAGAGAGAGGAGGGGGAGAGGGAGAGGGAGAGAATCTGGAGCAGACTCCACGCTGAGCTCAGAGCCTGACACTGGGCTCAATCCCATGACCCTGAAATCATGACCTGAGCTGAAATCAAGCATCAAGACACAACCCACAGCCACCTAGGCGTCCCAAGACTAGTTTTACCGAAAAAAAATTTTTACCTTTGAGGCAATCCTTGATGTGGAGAAAAATGTAAACACCTCTGACAGAATAGGCCCTTACCGAAAAAAAATTCCTTATAATCTTCCTTACTGCTGATAGCTTTACCTACAGAAGTATAGGTCACCAGTCACTGAGTTTCTTAAGCATTAGCCCAGCCTATCTGCTGATAGCTGATCCACAGTACTGATTATGGGCCAAGGCACAATTGGGTATGGTTCTACTTTTAACATATACTCACTGTTCTCTAAGATCAATTCTGGACCCCACCCAACTGGGTAGGATGCTTTATCTCCCTCTGAAAGACTGATAAAGAAATTTCTTGTAATCACCTAGGTCAGGAGATAGACTCTAATGTATGTGGGCTTCTTTTAACCTTTTTCCCCTATCTTCACATATAGAGAAAACTTCATTAAATGATACTCCATATTTCTCTATCTCACCTTCTCCAATTTATTCCTCTCTATGGCTAATTACTCCTCTGACTGCTCAGTTTGTGAAACAGAACTGAGCATTCTTGGTTCTGCCTCTCTCTACTCTCTCATTTGAATGCTCCATGCCTATCACAAGAATGCACTCTCATCTGATCTTAGCCATGCAATGAACCTAGAAGAGTAGGATCTTTCCCGGAGGAGGAAACCCCGAAATTTTGGGAGGCAAATCTCAATACAATAGAGTGTTAGCAACTCCTCTGGAGAGACCTAACCTTGCCCTCCAAAATTAAATAAAGCTGATATTTTTTATCTTTGCCTGACTTCAGAATGTATACCTCAGCTGGGGAACTCCTTAAAACACCTAAATTGCCTTCCAAATCCATCTTCAGTTTTTTATCCTGGCTGCCTCACACTAACTCCCACCTGAAAATACACCAGCAGTTAGTTGTTCTTATGTGGTAAACTCATCTATGTAGAAGGGAATAATGACCAGAAAAAAAGAAATACTGTTGGTTTTTTTTTTTTTTTTTTTGTATTCCAAAGTAATCTCCAACTAAACAGAAGTAAAACTGAAGCTGCTACAAAAGAAAACGGAGTAGTAAGGGTGCTTATTCAGCCCAACCTGAAACACTGGAGGCAACTACCATATTTAGGAGCAATATTTCCCATTCTCTAGCCATTTAGTCATTAAGAGTAACAGCTTCTTAGTTTTTGCCCTATCTTTATGCAGTCTATATTAGTCTTTCACTCTACAGTTTTCATTAATTCACTAATGGCTTTTACCTAAATAAGTGTATTTACAACTGTAAATGTTAGTTGTCTATCCAATATCCATTTTCCTCTTCTTCCATACTTACAGGACTCCTATTATTTTTGGAAGCAGCAGTATGCCCTGCTTTAAAAAAAAAAAAAAAAAAAATCCAACTTCATTTACAGATAGGGGTAGCCAATGAGATACAAGTAAGGAATCATTTGATGCTTCTGGGTAAGTTCTTTAAAGAGAGCTTATTTAGCAAGAGGGCCTATTCTTTTGCCTTGTTCTTTTCTCCTCCCTGTGACTTAGAATACAGTTAACCAAGGTGACCATGCGGAGATCTTGAAGATGAAAAAAGGCACTTAGAATAGCAGAACAGGAAGATGGAAGATGCCTGGATGTCTCATGACTGACCACATAGCTGCACCACCAGCCCTGGAATACCTCCCCTGGACTTATTTAGATGACAGAAAAAGAAGCTTCTATCTTATTTAGTCCACTGTTATGTGGATTTTCTTTATATGTAGCAAAACCTAACTTTTATGTACCATGTGTTGAATGTGCTAGCTTTATATTTTTCAGTTATTAAAATTATATGTTCATATACTTATTACTTAAATGACTTAAAGTCATTCTGCTTACTACTACTGATACGCATACCACACTCCTGGGAAACTGTCTTAATTATCCATTGAACCCATAAAAATGATTCACCATTCCCTTTGTTTCTCTTGTAAAGAGGGAGCCAAAAAGAAGGCAATGATACCTAAAAGTAAACTTGGCAAATTTGTGAGGATCTTTTAAGAAAAAAAGACATTTGGAAAATATTCCAGCTTAAATAATCAAGACTCACCTATACATCTACATAAAATACACTGCAAATTATGCCCGACTGACATTTATTACTTTAAGATACTACAAGGTTAAAAGGATTTCATAACATGATTATATGAAGTAATATGGCAAACAAAATAATTCTGCATGTTAACTTTCTCTAGTAGAAAATACGTAAAGCATCTAACAAAGATACTTACATTTGAAGGTTTAAGTTTGTTAATGATTGTTGTTTTGCCGCTATTATCCAGACCAAGGCACAAAACATGAACCTCCTTCTTCTTTAAGCCAAGCAAGCCTGAAAGTCTGTCTAGCAATCCCATAATGTGATTCAAATATTTACAAACCAGCTGCAAGTTAAAAGTAAAAAAAGATATATCAATCATTACAGGCAACTTAGGTATGGAAAATATGAACATGTGCATCAAAAAAATTAATAATTTAAAGACACAATCATAAAAACCATGTCAAGTAGCTTTGTATTTAGGAAACAAAGTTTAAGCTGATTAGCACAAAGGAGCCTTATCTGAAATGCAGATTGGCAGCTTATAACCCTAGGCAACACAAAGAACAATGCCCTTGAAATAGCTGTATATTTCTTCTGGTAAATTACAATATTTAAGAAGAAAATGTGGTTAAACTCAGTATTATGTAGAGTCTGCCACCTGTGATCTTGAAAGTATCTGCAGCCTTTCTAGAAATCTGGAACAATGTATGGCAAAGGAGTTCATGTAGAGCCTAATGCCGAAGCTCAGAAAGTAGAAGGCAGGTCAGAAATGAGAAAAACTGAGATTTGGGCTACACTATTTGAGCCACTGGCTAAATCGTTTTCTGAAGCCAGCCCCATTGTTGTATTATCCAATAATCTGAAGGAATAACTATTAAATTCACTGTTTTTGTTTGTTTGCTTGATTATATCCAGTTTAGGTTGCATTTTCTATCAAGAGGAACAAAGAATACTAACAGATATATTTAATATATAATATACTGCTATACATATTGCTTGCTCATAACCTGCTATGAACTTTCCAAATGAAACTTTCCAAAGGTACTCCCCTTGGGTCCATCACTCCCCAAAATGTTATCATGGGAGAAGAGAGATATCCCTGTTGCCAGCCCTCAACTGCTGCAGGGACTGCTATAGGAGTAACTACAATCTGCCTAAGTCCCAAATATTTCCTATTACTCTCCTGACCATCCTTTTCAAAGTTCTCTAAATACTCATCTCATTTAATTGATTTATTCTCATCTCCATCTAAAGTTCCAGGAGCCTGTCATCCCCCAACTCCTCGAGTATTTTTTATCCCACACTATCCTAGGTAAGGCCATACCTTGAAGAATGTGAAGCTGCAGCAACTTAAATGATGAGGTTTCCAAGACAACTGCATCAAAAGGAGGCTGCATCATCGATTTTGCTTAGGCCCCTTGGGGGATCATACCGACAGAAATTTCAAAACCAAATTTCAATGATGTGCAGAAAGGAGCAAGCACGGTGCCCCACCAGAGCATGGGGCCTATAAGAGACCACAGTTGTCTTATCCAAAGATTGGGTTTGATTTCTGGTACTCCATTTGTGCCACTTTTCTCCTTGTGTTGGAGACTCAAATCTCACTCAATCCATTCCTTTAAATCTCAGCTTAAGGAACATTTGTACAATCTACTTTAAGTTAGCCTTCTGATATCATGAAACAATTCACACAGACCATTTTAATTCAAAGTAGATTTGCTATTCTCACTTTGTTATTTATTGTACTAAACATATTGATAAAAAGACAGTATCTTACCCCTGAAGCAAAATACATTATATGTTAATTTAAAAAAAAGACAATATCTTGTTTTCCATTTTCCAATCAATTTTGAACAGATTTTAAAAAAATATGACGACTTCTCACCTCATCATCCTCTGGGCATCCACTATAAAGCATCGATTGTCAAAAACTTGATACTTGAATATTCATTTTCCAAAGAATCCTGGATTGTGATTTTCCAACCCTTTTTCATGGATTATTAAAACTAATGCTTGTTAATAAAATATTTTGGGACATACAATGTAGAAGTCAGTTGTTTTAAAAGATGTAATTATAGCCTTATGCATGCATGTTTCTATTTCTTAGTAATCATACATTTCTGTAAGTTTACTTTTTCCATGTATGAAAGAAGGAAAGATAACAATTTAAGCCACTCATCATTTACTTACCATGCCCTATGTGCACAGTGGGAGATAAAGTTTTCTGTAGCTCCCTATGCCTAAAGCCATGATTCTCAACTTTGGCTGCACACTGGAATTAACTACTAAATTAGTATTTCTGGTGATGGGATTAGGGCATCCGCATTTTAAAAAGCTATACAGTGTTTCTGATGTACAGTTCCTATTGAGAACTGCTGGCTTTCAGAATAAAGTCCAAATGTTCACGCGTAGCTAATTTTAAGATCCAGTCTGGCTCTGATCTACCTTTCCAGTTTCTTATCTTACTGTTTTACTGCGCACCAGCCAATCAAACTCTCTTGGTTGTTATCTGAGAAACTGCTTTCTAAAGGATTACTTGTTGCCAGGAAAGTCTTGAGGAATTAGGATATTATCCACAGCAAACAGCTTGGAAGGTAGTAAGCCGCAGATCGTGGTGGGGCAGAGAAAAACACCATGAATGGTACTTTGTAAACGTAAAAAAAAAAAAAAAAAAAGTTCCTAGAGTGAATTATAGCCTACTTTTAGTACTTCAAACATTTTTATTCGGCTTTCAGTTTCTGAGGATGAAATTTCAATTACATTTCCCACACACCAAATAAAAACACAAAACTGGTCGATGATAAAACCAACCAACCAAACTCGCCCAAAACCATGAGTCTCCTGGGACCCCTAGTACTCACCGCATAAATCCTTTCCTTTTCCACTTCTTACACTTTAGAAACAACGGTACGGAGTAAAAACCTTAAGAAAGAGTAAAGAGCAATTCTAAAACGCGACGGGAGTGGTGTTGGTGGCGGCGGCGCTGGCTACAAACATGGGGGGGGGGTGGCGGAGATACCTGGTCTTTGAAGTTAGTTCTGCGGGCCCAGGGGCTGAAGAGGAACAGGAATGGACCACTCACTCACTCGTATACGTCTCTGGAATAAATATCGGGCGTCTCTCAGCCTTAGTCTCTATGCCTCCATTGTAGGAATCCCTGCTCCTGAGCAAAGCCGTATCTACAAGTTGGGTGAACTGGTTGCCTGCGCCTCAGCCGAAGCATCAGTGGCTGGGCAGGCGCCTAGGCGCGTGGCGTTCCCTTGGCAACCGGACGTCCTTCCGGTCCCGAAGCCACGCCTCCTTGGAGGTCTTAGGAAGTAGCCTTGGTACTCTTGTTTATGGGATTGAAGAGCTCCCGAGAATGCCAGAGGCACACCGAGGAGTATTAAAGGTGTGAAGACGGGTGGCGGGGTGAACGGCCGCCTTCCTGCGAGAAGCAGTGTTGTCTCCGATGGAGCATGATGGGAGTTGTAGGCGTGCGCAGAGCCTGGTGGGAAATGCTTGGCGTAGCGTTTGCGCGTGCGCTTCTTTCCGCCACGGTCTCTCCCAGCCTCTCGGGAGCATATCAGCAATTCCAGCACGCCGGGGTGGGCGCTCCGTGTGGATCCCAGAGGGACGTGGAACCTCTGCGTCTTTACCGGGCACGCGCGCAGCGTGTTTCAACGGCCGAAGAAGACAGCTGTGCCCTCTCTGTCAAGGCATGCGCCAGAGTTTCTGCGCTGCCTCTCCCACGGAGGCTTTCCGGTCTCTTACGGGCCTCAGACCCTGGAGTCCTGAAGTAAAACTGTTAATGTAGGTAGGGAGAGGAGATAAAACCGGTGTGAAAAGTCGGAAGCGTGACTCGGCGGAGGAAGTATGCCTGTACTCTGGCGTCTTAGCTGTCTGATCTGAAGAGATTTCCGCTAGCCATAATCTGTGATTATTGTCCCCAGAATCAAATCGGTAGGTGGTCAGGAAAGGAATAGTCTGAATGCTTAACGTTAACCACCTTTTAAAATTGCACTGGGACTTTATAGCAACGATGATAACTCCAGTTGAAAATATTTAGATATACTCATTTCTCCACATTTTTATAACCACGCTTTCCAAAGGACAAGACTACAGTTGGAGTAATTTTACAGATGTTACAACCTACCTAGCCTCGCCCCTCCCCCCCCCCACCTACGGGGGGGTTTCATGGATGAAACCCTTACTCTTAGGTTTTCGTCTGTAGTTTACTTTTTGGCCATGAGTATGGAACACCCTCTCCCCACCACACACACACACATACATAAGCTAGGGTTATGTTAACCACCCTTCCTGATCTTTGGCCTATTAATTTTACCTATTAAGCGAACTAGGAGGGTGAAAAAGAGACTAGAAGAATTATATAAAATTAATGATGGGGTGTTTATGTGGATGATTATAGGGTGTTATTTTGTTGTTAGGTTTCCAAATTTGCAAATGTGGTTGTTTTACAATGAAAAAGAGTTAAGAGTAAACTTAACTCTTGAAAGGTTAAAACTAATAACAAAAACTCAATAGTTATATATTCCAAAATATTTACAGATGTCCTTGAAAAAAAAAATGATATTCTTCCTAACTGTGTGGCCTTAGGCCAATTAACCCTTCTCCATGCTTTAGCTTCCTCACTTTCAAAAAATACCTATTTATTTCATCTGGGAGTTTTGAGGATTGAATAGATTTAAAAAGAATATTTTTTGGCACCTAGTAGGTGTTCAGTTAATAAGTTCCTGTCTTCCTTTGTCCTGAAATTTTTAGTATATGGGTAGGATTTGACCCAATTCCTAAATATTCTGGTTCATTAACTTCTGACTGTAAATGCATTTACAGGGAGGTATTGATTCCTTTTCTTTGTGTCTGGGCATTTGTGATTCATTTTGATGAGACATGGAAGCTAATTTCCTTAGAGCCTGAATATGACTTTTTTTGTCTTAGAGTTAAGCAGAAATCTTATGTTTCAGAAAACGTTAGTGTACAGATTTATTTTTTCCTGTTTGGAGTTGGTATTTTCTCCCCTTAGGTTGAGTTCTATTTTTGCTTAGCACAGAACATTTGGTGAAAACTGGAAATATGACGGGGAGATTGGATATCCAACTTTTCAGTAAATTTAGGCATATACATAATTCTTTGACAAAAAAATAGCTAAGTAAATCATCTTAGATCAGTGTAGTTGATGCGATGGCTTATCATTAGAGATTAAATAGTGAAACCCAAAGTGTACTCAATAACAGAAAATGCCAGTTTTAAAAATATGTAAAAGTTTAAAAGTGTAAATATTTCATATGGTTGAATCTGCATTTTGGTACTTTGCCAACTGAAACTCCTTTTGAGTACTGACAGGCTCAGCATAAAAATTATTCCACTTGATTTAATAAGTTAGTTTGGCTGTCTTCATTTTATCATGAGGGTGAGAAGCTTTAAAAATGGCAGTGATTTTCTGAAGGCTACTTAAGATATCCATATAAGAGAAGGAAGTTTCAGGTATTTTATAATCAGTTTTAATTTCATACTGGCTTCTGGAACTGTAGTAGAAGAATTATAAAAGAGTTAAGTCTAAGATGATGACTACACTATTCTGATTAACTGAGGAACTTTTTATGTATTTTCTTACCAGCAACTTTTAAAAGAATATAGAAAATCCCTGATTCATAATTTATTGCACATTTTTGGAATGAATGCTGATGGTGTAAAGCCATTTGAATAGTTGGACATTATGTATATCTTTTGGTCATCTGCAACTTATGTACAGTATTACCTCTGCAATGAACAATTTAATTTACTTAAGCTCACAAAATAGTTTGCCAATATGAAATCACTACAAAAATGTGTATCTATGTATAGTGATTTATGTGATTTTATGCCTTGACGGTAATGACATTATTTTGAAAAATTACAGCTATGATTTTGCATGCAGAATTATATATCTAAAGAATGTCTAGATTGAAGAGACTGAAAAATAAATTATATTAAATATTCATCAATACAACAGTACAAAAAAGTCACAGATTTAACCACCAGAACTGTAACTTTTATTTGCTAAGATATTTTAATAAACAGGCTTACTCCATCTGTAAGACCCTGGTAATGCCTCTTAGGAAATCATAGAAAAATAAAATACAGTAATTAGTAATTTGTACTTTGTACAAAAATCTTATTATGTTGCTCAGCAGGTAGTTTTGCTAAACACCATATTCTTTCAGCAAATAGATAGATGACATATGTAATGCAATTAACCACAAACAATCCCTCATTGAGAGCTGAGCATTCTGTAACACTATTACTTGTAAGCATGCCAGCACATGAAAATTTACATGGAACATCATAATATTACAGTAGATTTTTATAAGATGAAAACAATACCACCTTTAAGTAAGTCTGGACTACTTCACTGCTGTAGCAAAGTAGATTATAGGTAGGATTGCAGTTCAATTGTTAACACCCTTTTACTGTGTTTATCTCTCTACAATCTTGTTATACAATCAGAAAAGAGAAAGAACATAGTCTGTGTAAGGAACCTGAGCGGAAGGCATATATTGAATCTCTAAATAGATACCAAAGAGAAACAGTAATAACAAAGAAAAAAAAAATACCGTGCTGCACTTCCTTATTCTCACAGATCTTTTCCCCCTTTTGTATGAGTAGATGGGTACACTGCTAAATCCATAATTAATGATAATTAACTTTATGACAGGTTACAGAGAGATACATTTTAAAAACCATATTCATACTTATAGGAAAGAGAAATGTTTTCAGCTGCAGTTTTTCATTAGTCAAATATTGCTCTATGAGGGATTAAATGCCTCAACCTAGACAGATGTTATCTAGGTATTTTATATAAATGTACTACTAAGTATTAAATTAAACTTTTTAGTATTTGTGCTACAAAGATTTTTGTAACTTTTATTTTGAATACACTGCAACTGTCAACATCTACCACTTAATATTTGACATGGCCATTTAAATATTAAGTGTTTAATCAGATACATATATGTACACATACATCTTTCTATTTTTGTCTGTGCGAAAACAGCAAAAAAATGGAGAGCAATCTTATTCCATTATTCACAATCTAATTTTACATCAAATCCATATGCATCTATAAATTCAACACACTGAATTACATACATCCTATCCAGAAATAAAGATCCAAGCACAATTAAAAGATCACATCCTTCCAATAGGATAGGGAGGGCACAATGAACAAAACAACTATATTGTCCATGTGTTTCTCCTAAATGACAGATGGTACTGGTGTTTTTCATATGAAAACAAAACAAAATAAAAGTATTATTTTACTAAATGATTAGAGCCTGTTTGCCTTTTTTTTTTTAAATTCAGATGGGGGCTCAAAACCCTCCAAAATAGTATTTTAAGAAAACTACCAGCTTGAATATATAATACACAATTTTCAAGATTAAACTAATTTTAATAATTTTCATAGGCTTTGAATTAGAATAGCTACAAAATATTTCTGCCTTTTACTCCGTAATAGACAAAAATAAATAACAAAACATGAGACGTATTATGGCATTGAGAAGTCCTCACTTAATCTCTACATTATGGAAAAGAGAACACCGTTATTAGAGTCCTTGGAAAGCACAGAATTGTTTCAGGTCCTTCAAGTAAGATGTCTCAAAAATACTCAGTAAGAATAGCTTTAAAATATTTTATACTATATGTCTTTTTCCCGTGGTGTACAACATATACACAAATACCCACTGACTACGTGTTTATGTATACATGCATGTGTGTGTATACACACATACATACACATATATACATATATATAGTTCACTTTTCCCCTTTCCAACTACTTATACCTCTCTCTTCCAATCTATACTGCCTTCACACCCTGTGTAATGACTTTTATGGCAATAGTAAATAGAACTACTCACATAGTAACATCTTTACCTTTCTACCACAAATCTACCAACCTATCTGCAATTCTGCCTTCCCTCCCATTGCAGTTCTATGTCTCCTCCTATCAAAAACTAACCTCCCTACTACTTATACTATGTATCCTAACCCTTCTACCTCTCAAGGCCCTTTCTATAAATATATTTTCTCTTGCATAATCATAATCAGTTTTCCCCTTTCTACCAGATCATTCTCATTAGTATATAAATATACTCTAGCATTTTTCTCTAAACACATACACACACACACACAACCAAAAATCTCTCTTGACCCTGTATCTCCCTCCAGCTACTGCCCTATTTCTTAGAGTAAAACTTCTTGAAAGAGTTGTTTATAGATATTGACTCCACCAGCTTTCCTACAATCTCCTCTTAATCCACTTCAATCAGTTTTTGACTACACTACTTCATAGAAACTGTCCTTATCAAGGTCACCAATAACTTTCATGTGTCAAATCCAGTGGCAATTTCTTAGTTCACATCTTGGCTTCTTACAAGCATTTAATCCAGATGACCAGTTGGATTTCTTTTTTCCTCTACCTTACCTTATACTCCCTTTGTGTCCTATGTTGGCTTCCAATTCTCTGCCTAACTTCTACACATGGAAATGCCTTAGACCTCAATTGCAGCCTACTTCTCTATCTTACAGCCTTTTCCTGGGTGATCTCAAAATTTTAAACACCATTTATATGCTGATGACTTCCAAATCTTGATGTCTATCCCTGATTGCTCCTTGGAACTCTCACATACACTACTCT